TATATGGAAATATGTATATAATTCAAGAAATAAGAATAACCTTAAAGTCTTGCCCCACAGGCTACCAATATAGAGGTCTTATGTCAACAGCATTGTTTGATGACTACAATTAATTTAGGTTCTGCTGGAATCCACTTTCACAGAACTTATAGGTAGTAAGTGCTTGAAACCTATTCTCATGGGAAAGCTTACCTTAGTGTGCTTAAGCCCTCAGGTGTTTGAGAAAGAGCAAGATCATTGGTGTGCTGAAATAGAATGAGAAATGGACAGTAGCTGGGGATAGTGAGTGTGTGTGTATGTGTGTGCATGCATGCACGCAACAGCATAGAGTACAGATCATGGAAAGCTCTCTAGATATTGGTAAAGACTGTTGCTCTTAATCAAGTAAAATGGAGAATCATTAGAGGGTTTTGAGCAGAGGTGTGATGATTTGAGTCATCTTTTGAAAGGTTTACTCCACATGCTGGATTGTAATAGAATGCAAAAACGGACTGACAAGAACTATAGACTTATAGATCAGTTACGGAGCTATTGTAGTAATTAAAAGAGAGTGGTGATAGTGATGGAGTTGATGGGAAGATCCAGATCAAGGTAGAAGCAATAGAAATTCATAGGTTGTGAGAGACGATAGTCAACTCCAAGGTGTTTGGCACCTGTAGAGATGAAGCTGCCATTAACTGACAAGGGGAAGATGCTAGGTCTAACAGATATATGGTGGTAAGGTCTGAGTTCTATTTTGGCAGGTTACATTTTGGATTTTCATTAGACATACAAAAGGAAAAGTTAAGTACACAGAGGTCTGGTGTGGAGATATAAATTTGGGAGTCAGACAAATGGTACAAAAGACTACAGTTATCAAGGCAATGACTACAGCTAAATAGAAAAGAACAGAGGACATTTATGATAAATGGCTGTGAATGTTATATCTTAATTAACAGCTTGCATCAAGGAAGATCTCCCAGTGAATTATTCTATAGAACAAATTTTATTTTGAATACATTGGTAAAATACCATAAATAAAAGTTATTTATTTAAACAAATATTAGTTAACTGGGTGTGACTACCACAAGTCCTAGGAGAGAATTATTGGATCCCTATGGTAGTTTTAAAATATCTACATTTTTATAAATAGATAAGACTAAAAGACAAGATTTTTTTTATAGATTCCATATTTTCAGATTGTAGGAGAGCACACCAATACATAGACCACTTACTGAATTAGATTAGAAATATTTGAATGTTTCCTATACATTTATAGGCATTTAAGATATCCTTTAATACATCTTGAGGAGTAGTGAGGCAAAATAGAAGCTAAACTGTAATTTTTTGTACACACATATAAAACACATACCTAAGAGACCTCTGTTAAAAGAAATAAGATTTTTAAAAACGTATATTGGTTTTGAAGGTGTTTGCAACTTTATT